GCTACCCCGCAGGGCTGACTGTGGATACCCCAGCCCACTCACCACCACCCTGTTTCACTTGCAGGAGCGCAAACTTCAGCTGGTCTTTGAGTCGCTGATGCTGGAGCCATGGGGCAATGAGATGCTGAGCAGGGAGCAGTGCTCTGTTCTCAGCGCCCTGGCTGGCCGGGGCCTTGGGGTGGCACTGGCACCAGGCAAGAGGTGAGCGGGACTGGCAGTCCTCACCCCAGCCCCTTGGGCAGCCCTGAATTTGGCTGTGCAACTCACCCCCTTGCTGCTGTTGGGCTCATGGGGCTGGCTGAGCACAGGGGTGCTCAGGCTCTGTAGGGGCATCAGCTGTGGGCTAAAAAAGAGTAGGTGCTGGCTAATGGGGGAGTTGCTCCAGTTGGGCTGACCCCCAGCTTGCTCTGCAGGTCATCTGCAGTGGATGAGTCATGCCAGTCCCTCCTGTCCCACTCGGATATCAGCTATGACCGCACTGAGGATGATGGGGTAAGGAGTGACCTACTGTAAGACTCAGTGTTCACCCCAGCAGTGAGGAAGTGGTTTTACCCCACTCCTGCAGTTGAGCAGCCCCTTTGCATGGCTGTGGTTAGGGGTGGGCTGCTATTAGAGGCAGATGGGTATTGGGATTGTCGCTGGACCCATGCAGCTGTGCCAGCACCCAGACTTCCCACTGCCTTTCAGGATGTTGATATGATGGTGGTGCGGACCCTGAAGCGCAAAGCCCCAGAGAGACAGGTATGAGGGAAATGTTGGGATATGGCAACCCTGGGAACTGGTGTTGAGGTGGTGTCTGTGCCCCTCTGTGGGCGAGGATCCTCCAGCTCTGATCCACTTTACTGCACAATGCCCTTGGGTCCCTCTGCCCACAGAGGTCCCAGTGTGCAGCCACAGCCTGGGTGCTGGCCCTGGGCCATGCAAGGTTAGGCCACCCTAGAAATTTGTCCATCCCAGCACAGGAGGCTGTAAGGAACCTGTCAGAGGGTTTAATTTATTGATGCTGGGCTGGGAGCATCGTCTCTCGGCAAACCTCCCACGATCAATAGAAACTCCATTAGGCTCCACTGTGGCCCAGCTGGGCTCCTCAATAATTCATCCCATGTGTGAGCATCCCGCACCCCGCTCTACTCGCACCTCTGCATTGCAGGCCTGGCCTGGTCTCCCCCAGCCCTAGGGCTAGCTCTGACCCAGAGAGGGTGCCTGGGTCCCCATGGTGCCTGGTATAGGGCAAGCAGTCCTGGGGGTGGGGGTGGGAGGTGAGACATACTTCTTGTTGGGCTGGGGTGATTTGGCTTGGGTGCTCTAGGGTGGAGGGCAAAGTCAGGGAGGGGGTCTCTGCTCTTCATGCTATTTTCTCTGTTCCCAGCATGTGTCCCTAGCCCCTCAGATTGGCCCTGTAGTGATGGCAAAGCGGCACCGTTCTTCTGTGGTACCCCATAATGCTGTGAGTAGTAACCCCAGTGTGGCCTGGACAGGGATGGGGTGAGGGGATGGGGCTGTCCCAGTGCCAGAAGCCAGTGCTGTAGCCTTCAGTCCTGTAGATGCTGCACAGTCTGCTGTGGGGACAGTGCTTAGCTGTCCCCTCTGGGTACCTGTGTCCTTCAGCCTGTGTCACCCTAATCCCAGTGGGGACAGCATCCCTGGCTGTGCTGGACCAGTGCCCTGCAGCCTGTGTTCCCTCCCATACCCATGGTGGCAGCATCCCTGGCTGTGCAGAACCACTGGGATGGGGAACAGATGGAGCAGAGGTCATGGGAGAGATGTTGGAGCACTGTGGAGTTATAGACTGGCATTTTCTCACTGCTACCCATCTTGGCAGGTGAGTGCTGCCTCCATGCCCCCTCCTGCTGAGGTCCCAGGCCCTGCTGGCAGCCTCTTGCCCACTGTTCTGGTGCCACGCCGCTGCTCTCGCCAGGGACATGGTGTCTCCATGCGTGCAGGTCACGGGAAGGACTGAGGAGGGAGTTGTTGATGGGTGATGTGGGACCACCCTCAGGGTGCTGCTGTCACAAGGGAGGGAGGGGGTCTGCTGGGGGATGCTTGTCCCCACCATGGAGGTACTGGCATCCTCTGGACATGCCATGTTCCAGATGGCATGCTGTGGGTGCACTGCACCTCCCCACATCCCATCTGGTAGATGGGGTGGGGTGCCTTTCAGGGCTCTGTCCACTACCTCCTCCCTCTGCAGAGCTGACCACGGTGTGCGGTACCAGTGAGGAGCAGGGCTGCCATGCCCCAGGGCAGGAAAGCCACACTGAAGGCAGCTCTGTGGGACAACCAGCACGAGCCTCCCTCCCATCGCCTCCTCAGAGCCTCCCACCAGTCCAGCACCGGTTCACCTCCAAAACTGTGCGTGTCCCAGCCTGCCTCTCCTCTTAGGAGGTGGGCAGGGGGAGAGAGTCTTGGGGAGGAGCAAGGCATCTCACACCCCTTTAGCTCTGCCTGCACGGGGAATGGATGGAGGCAATGGGGGCTGGTTGGGAGGGGATAAAGGAGTGGCACAGGGTATCTGCAAGGAGGGGGCCCCTGACCCTCCTCCTGTCCAGGTAATCCGCCCTGAGCCATGTGGTGTCTGTGGCTCCCGCATCCGCTTTGGGAAGACTGCCATCAAGTGCTGCCAGTGCCATCTGCTGCTACACGCCAAGTGCCGTGAACAGTGCTTCAGACTCTGCACACCTCGTCCTCGCCACCATGCCTGGCCCCGTGAGGTGAGGGAGGCATGGTAGTGCTTGGGGGCTATCAGCCCCAGGGTGTTGTTTCTCTGCCCACCCTGCCTGCAGGGATGGGCAGTGGGCACAGAGTGGGTCAGCATTGTCTTCCCTAGGGTGTGCTAGCAGACTTTGCCCCCTCGACACCGCCCCTGGTGCCTGCACTGGTGGTGCAATGTGTGACCGAGGTGGAGACGCGAGGCTTGACAGAGGTAGGGACTGGGATGATGGAGGTGGTGACGCTGTGGTTCCTGGGAAGCTGAGCCACTCTCCCTGCCCCCAGACAGGGCTGTACCGAGTGTCGGGTGCAGAGCAGCTGGTGCAGGAGTGGAAGCGGAGACTGCTGCAGGCTGGGGGTGCGCTGCCCGCCCTCAGCAGTGTGACTGACATCCACGTGGTGTGTGGGGTGCTCAAGGACTTTCTACGGGGGCTCAAGGACCCAGTGGTCACCTTCAGCCTCCACCCTGCCTTCCTGAGGGCTGCTGGTGAGCAGGAGTCCCAAGGTGGGGGGGGGGGAAGGGGCTGCTTCCCCTCTAACACTACCCCTTGGTGGCACCACAGATATCCCAGATGATGCTGCCTGTGACATAGCCTTGCGCCACGTGGTGAGCAAGCTGCCCCCAGCCAACAGGGACACACTGGCCTTCCTCATGCTGCACCTGCTCAGGTGAGGGGCTCATCCTGGCATGGGGTCTGTCCCCCGTCTCCTGTCTCTCTGCCTTTTGCCCAGGTGGCATGCCCTAGAGGCAGAAAGCTTCCTCGAGGAATCTGCAGATGAGGGGCCCTTTGGCTGAGTGGCATGCTCACACCCTCTGTCCCCTCTTGCAGGGTGTCACATAGCCCTGACTGCAAGATGGACGTGCTCAACCTGTCCCGTGTGTTTGGGCCTACGCTGGTGGGACACAGCTCAGCCAACCCTACACCACTCACCATCATGGAGGACACACCACGACAGTGCAAGGTGAGATGTCCCTGAGGCACAGGACATACCCTGGGCACTGCCAGCATCCCTGTCCTACGTCTCTCTCTGCCCAGGTGGTGGCTCGTCTCCTCTCACTGCCACCTGACTTCTGGATGGGCTTTGTGGAGAGAGAGCAGGAGAACGTGGTGCCAACACCAGCCCTGGGGAGTGAATGTGGTGAGGCACAGAAGCCCTATCCCCCCTCCCTGCTCTGACCTTATGGCTGCTTTTGAAGGGCCCTGTTTGTCTGTGGCTGGGGTGTGATAGCTCTCCCCACTCTGTCCTGCAGAACTGTTCTTCTGCCCTATCACCTCTCCGGAGCCCAAGTCAGGGCAGCTGAGCCCAGCTGGTACCTGCTGCCTCCCCAGCGCCCTGCGAAGCTGTGTGGGCACGGCTGCTCGGCCCCCGTGAGTGCTCCCGCGGTGG